CCCCCCCCCCAAAAAAAAAAGACCACCTTCATCCAGAGCATGAGATATGCGGTGCTATAAGCCTATAACACTTCCCAATTCACAATGCAGGACTCAACTCTTTGATGATGCAATGTTCTAAGCCCTCAAGATGACATGGACTTAGGGCGGGGGGAGAATAAGAATGATGAATGTAAGAAGACGAACACGAACACGAACACGAACGAGGACACGAACAAGAAAAAGGACACAAGATAGAATCAACGCCATTTCCTCTTCTTGCGAGCACCATCTCTCTCACACTATCTTCTCCTCCTCTATAAACAATCAAAACATACAGGTGCTATACCAAGCTTTCCTCTTGGACACTATGCTCCGATTGTTCATGCTCTCATGTCAAACCACCAGGCATCTGTTTCTCATCATCTAGATTGGCATGCACACCTCGAGTGGAATACTAATTTGTATTCTGCATGAGGTTGGTGCAAGAAACGACTCTCTGTCATCTTAACACTGTTTTGCAAGCAGAGCAATTTGAGTTGTGCAAATGCGAGGTGTCGATCAACAACCCCTTTGAACCAGGTATGGACCCCTTCGCTGGTCGAGGAGTGATCTCTGCAAATGTTCATCTTCCTTCTGGACTTTTTTATGTTGGTCAGACGATGCATTCTGCACATCGACGGCTGCAAGAGAATTGACATACACAGTACTCTTCTGCTCCTTTTCGCCATCGCCATCTTTACCGTACAATGTGTGGGCCACTAACATTCATCTTTGCGGGTTGGTCCTCGGAATGCATCAATCCTACGCTTTATCATGCGTCTGAAGGTCTTCGTGATCATGCCCTCTTTCGGTGGGCTGCGGCACCCCTTTAGCGTTTCTGCATTCCGAAACTTCAAGCTCTCCACCCCATCGATTCCAATGCAGTACTTCCAATGGCTGAACTGCCGTCTCCACGACAACACTTCCACCCTCATCATGGGACACAAATGGGTCCTCGTCACTTTGTTCCTGAGTCCCCCCGACCTCCTCATACCTCAGCTCCTCTTGTTTCCCTCCCTACCACATGTATTGCTGCTCCGTCCGTTCCTGCATCAACTGATCCATCTCACACTGCAGCCCTTTTACCAACACCTGTCCATCCCGACTCTCCTTGACCTCCTCACACCTCAGCTCCTCTTGTTTCCCTCCCTACCACATGAATTGCTGCTCCATCCATTCCTGCATCAACCGATCCATCTCACACTGCACCCCTCTTACCAACACCAGTTGACTCTCATGCTCCACCCCTTTTACCGACACCCCATCACTCTGTACCTCCCTTGCCGACCCCTTCGGTTAGGCCATTTGCTGTTGATCTTCGTCCCGGTTCGGAGCTCATGATCCGCACCTCGCTCCATCACCTTCTCACTGAAGCTGCTTCGGGTAGCTGTTGTCGTGTCAATGCTGATATTGAGCAAGCATACCGGCATGGTGGATACACCTTCCGCAATGGCTTTACAACGACGTCTCCAACGAGGACATGACAGCAGACATTCAAGAACTCGAATGTCTCATCCAAAAAAAAAATCATCATACCGCCAATGTTACACAGCTCAACCTCGTGACCCATTTACTGACCACATCAAGGTCGTACATGCCCATGAGGTAGTTTGTGCTACAAACTTGCGCTGTGTGTCACAGTTGGTGAAAGTAGTCGTGTTGCACCCTGACCCTCAAGCAGTCACAAACGTTCGTGTATGTGGCGAACTGATGCCACCCACACGTGTCTAGTTTTGTAACTTCACTGAAGTGACCTTGAGTGTTACTCGCATGACCTTCCGCGACTCCCGACTCAAACTGAGACTGCCACAGAGCGTTTCCGCGCTGTTCTGATCTTGTGGATGGCCATATCGTGTCTGTTGACGACAGTATCATCTCCAATGATAGCCTTCGCAAGCTCTTTTCAAGAGGGCTCTAAGCATCGCTTGAATGGGGAGACTGCTGATGTGCCCGAAGCGCTGGCAATCAGACTCGATGAGTACATTGACAATTACAAAAAGTTGCTGGCCAGACGTTCTCGATCTACTACTTTCTCGTCTCTTTCCCACACATTGAACAGCTGCCGTTCTGCAATCGTTGCACATTGTCAATCCAATGCGTTTCCGTCCTCCAATCATGTGAGCCAGCCACGTTCACGTCATTCTACACATGCCTGCTTGCACCATCTTCAACAACACTTTTCAATTGTCCCTGTGGACAAAACATCGCTCATTTTTTTGGAAATCCACCGCAAGGATTGGTACTGGTTTTGTCTCTCTACTACATTGCAAGTTGGCAGTAGAAACCTTGTGGATGAAAGAGCAAGTGTTTTGCTGCACCTGTTTTCTTTCCAGTACCTTTTCATTTCTTCTCTTTGTTTTCTTTTTGTGTTTTTTTTTTTTTTCAAGGGGGGTCGAGGGGGGTGTTGTTTTTTCTCTGCCACGCAGTGTTGCATCCCCCGACAGTCGGTGCCCTTGACTGGTCGGCTGCCGACCAGCCAACCGGTACCTACCGCTCAGGGGTCGTCAGCACCCCGCAATTTTTTTTTATTTTTTTTTTTTGGGGTCCAGAACCCCCAATAACCCCACCATCACCCCCATACCC